GGCATCCTCCCCGCCTCCCCGACCTCCGCGCGTGCGCATCAGGAGTCGGAGGGGCGGAGGGCAGCGGACGGCGGGAAAAGGGGACTTACCTCAGTATTCCTCCACACGCCCCCCTTGATCATAATTCGAGGCATCTTGGCGGCAGGGTGGCTCGGCAAGCGGCCGAGTGGAGCTACAGAGAAGAACTAACGGCGCTACGGCCACGGGACCCAAAGCCGCCACTTCCTCCAAGCGCGACCTTCTGCTTTGAAGAGATCTACGCAGGCGCGAGAGGTATAAGGGGGGGCGGGCCCACTAGCAAGTCTCGCGAGAACTCGAGTGGCTGAAAGGAAGTTAAGTGCCCAGTTGTTAAAGCTCCATTCTAGAAAGACTGACGGAAAACCATTAAACCACTCTCGCCAAAGCGCCCTACGCCGCGCACAAGCCCAAAACTGGTTGGAGGAAACCACGGCTCTCGCGAGATAACGGCGGTGGCTCTTGGCAGGAAATATAGTACTGGGACTAGTCGTGACGTCACCTAGTGATAGAGCGTGGGACCGTCTCGCGTGTAGCCCACCCAGCTGATCTAAAAAGAACTTTGTTCATTTATTACTTTAATATTAGGCATTTAACTAATGGGAATTCATTCACAAAATACTCGAGAAAAGGCAATAGCTTATTTAAGCCTAAAGTTCCTAACCTGTATAATGGAAACAATAATGTACCAACTTCATAGGGTTGTCCTAAGGATTAAATATGATGGTAAACCTAGCATGGTATCTGATACATAAGTGTTCACAAAAGTGGCAGCTGTTATTACAAGGACAACCACAAGTGATCAGTGGTTGTCCGAGGAACTCGCAGAAATGTCTTATCAGAGTTTTTCACTCAACTCTACTCATTCTCTATGGATTAATAGTAAAGAGTTACCATCAGTAGGCACTGGTATTAGACATACTCGGTCTGGTTCTCTAATTAGCTTGGGTAATAACCTTGCTGAATCTCAGTTTCCTCATATGAAGAGTGGAGTTAACAATTCCTGCATCATAAATTTGAGGGGCATATTAATTGACATACCTAAAACCCAATGTCGTAGGGATTGCCAAACTGCCATTCCACTTCCCAATTACTCACTCAGTTTCCTTCACCATTCAAAAACATCTCTTTGACACCAGCCTGGAAGGTATGAAATATTAGTGGACTGAGAAACACCCCGAGAATTTTTTATATAATGCCTTTCTCTTTATATTTCATTTCTCCATTTGCCTCTTCTGAAAGAGCTATGGAATTTTCTGATTAGATTTTGGGGGCTGGTTTGTTTATTTATTTGCCTTGAAATAGGAAACTGTGTCAATAAAATCACTACTTTGTTGGATGACAGTGTTGGATTATGAAGAACACAGAAACTTTGCCATATAAAATGTTGGTCCAATCCTCTCTCTCCTTGTTGTGTGACAGGCAACAGGCCATTTTCTCTGGGCCTCTGTTTGCAATGCTTCTCTATAGGATGTGTTACCATTATTTTCTGTCCACCCTATCCTCAACATCCATTCAGTTGCTGTGGTTAGTGCCTCTCTCTCCCTCCTCTCTCTCTCTCACACACACACACACATACACACTGGCCATTTGATTGACCTGATCAAAGCTAAGCCAGTTAAGTCTCCTTTCCAGGAATTTTGACACTGCAACTCATCTCTGCTGACCGATAAGTCTCTAACATGTGACACCCAGGAGTTGTCTGCCACCGTGTGTTGTAGCATATAGACGAAGAAATTAAGAAAGCGGGTCCCAGGGGCATTGAGAGGAGCAGGGAAGAGAGAATAGAGAGAGAGGTAGGTCTTGACTGTGCCGTAGCCCCTGGATCCAGTATGTTCCTCAGTCCTCGGTGCTTCCCTGTCCCTGAGTTCTAATGATTAGTTCCCATTTCAGCTTTTGCCAGTTGGAGTCGGGTTTCTGTTATTTGTAAGCAAGATTCCTAACAAATCCAGAGCTGAACCAGTCCTCTCTCAGGAACCATTTCAGAGCTAACATTCCAAGAGCACATGATGATGGCTTCTCCTTCCCTCTCAGGACCACCTTTACCCCAAATGTCACATTTTTAACCAACTAGAACAAGGTGCCCCTTTCTCAAGGCACTTTATTTGTAGCTGCTGGGAAACGTCACAAAATACTGATGTTTTGAGAATAAGACACTAACTACAAGAAAATTATATCTCCCATGCCTATGATATGAATTGCACCCCATTAGGGGCATGTGTTGTACAACCAGCTGGCCCACTGGGACAGAGCAGCCCTGTTAAAAGCTCCCCAAGGCAACCCTGACTGTAAAGCATGTCCCATCAAAATTCTAGTTTCCCTCTTGTCCAGTTTTTTTACCATCAAGAAACTGCAGGAAAGAGCTAAAATTAGGGTCAAAAGCCCATGATATCAAGGCATGGTGAGGAGGGGCTGGGATTAGCCACCCTCATAATCTTCATCATCTCTCCAAATAAACAAATGGAATTTAAGTAGAAATACTGTGCCACTTTGCAAATACAATGTCAAGACAGGTCCTCCAGCCCTATCCTATCTACCAGATTGCCACCCCTAAGCCCCTCTGTCCCATTTAGATATTCCTCAGGTAGTTAATGTCTGGTTTCCAGATCTAGCAAATAAAAATACAGAACTCAGTTAAATTTGAACTTTAAATAAACAACAAATGATTTCTAGTATAATTATACCTCATGTATTCCTTCTGTCCTGTTTCTGAGAGAACCCTGGTTTTTCACTCCAGCCCACACTGTGCCCAGCCAGTGGAACCTATTTCTAGCCAGATGACCACACCCATGCTCACACCATCACCACTGGCAGCTGCCCCTACGTCCTCTCCATATTTGGTGGAAACAGACACATTTCCTCAGAAAACAACCCATTGGGAATTTTGGCTTATTTGATATAAGGCTGAGTCCCTCCACACACACCAAGAAATGTTTAATTTTCATGTACTTCTTATGAAGTTCAAGTTTGGGAGCCTCAGTGTTGATTTCTCAAGTCAGGAGTGGCCGCCCCACCCCTCAAGGAGTTCCCCAGCATTGGAAGGACACCAGGCATCTCAAAATGGGTCCCCAGTCCTTTCCCAGAGTCCACCGGGAACTTGGCTAGCGCTAAAAGGTGCTCCGTCCCATGTCTGGCCCACGGCTCAGTTCTGGGTCAAGGCATCACCGTCTCCTCATTTTCCAGCCAGGAAAGAAAAGCCTGTCAGTCAGTGGCATGATCCTGAGGAGCTCCAACTCTAAAACCCTTCACCAAGTCAAATCTTATAAACAAGGCTTTTACCTCCCTAGCTTTTGAAGACCAAATGGCTGAGAGCAAAAGGAAACAGTCTAACCAAACTGAGTACCTCATCCTAGAAATGCAGGCAATGAATGGAATCCTACAAAACACTCATAAATCGTTTGTGGAGCTGTAAACGTTGATGCTAGTATCTTAATATTTTGATAATTTAGAGTACAGAGACTATAGAAGCAGCCTTGGAATTGTCTTCATTTAGCTTATTTGGACTTCCGTGCCTCTAGCTTGAAAACATAATTTTCCCTCCAGTCCACAGAGGCCATTTTCCTTTTTTTCCCAGGACCTGAAATTAGAAGACCTCATGTGCGATGTGAAGCGGTCAGTCCAATGAATTTACTTGTCCGTGTCCTGTGCAGGTTGTTTCTATTAAACCTGCAAACCTCAGTTATTGGAAGTAAGAGATGAATACACACACGCACACACACGTTTTTATCTACCAAAGAACCTAAAGGGAAGTGAAGGGGACCTTCATGTCTAACAGGTCCAACCTCCTGTGCCTAGAAATAAGACAGCTGGAATGGCCATGACACTCATATACTTTTCCCATGTGGCCTCTGTCTATGCCTTACCCCCCCCCCAAAACATGCATGCATGCGCGCATATGTCCTGGCCAAAGTTGGCAGTGGAAGGTTTCACATATCAGCTGTTAGGGGTGCCGTGGAAGAAGGCCTGGCCGCTGATGGGTACCCACAGAGAACCCCAGATCCAGTGAAAACTGCCCTGACTTCCAGGGGATGGAAAGTGGCCTGCAACTCCAGAAATTCAGTCATTTAATAGTTTTTTTTATTATTAATCATCACTACTCTGGTTTTGAGCAGCATATAGGACTTACATAGATGTCCGTGAAATCTGGAGACTGCTAGCAACACATCTTCTGAAACTATATTTTGGTTGCTTTTCTTAGTACCTTTACTGTGTAGGACTCCTTCCCTCCAAAACATGAGTACCTTCTGAGAGCAGTTTCCTGTTCCACCTAGATAATCCCACCCAGAAATCCCTGCAAAAGCTTCTTTTGTGTCTATATCGTGTTCCCCATTATTCACCCACACAGGTGGATTTTGTTATATTTTAAGTAATAGAAGCATACAAAAAATTTTTTTTCGTAAGTTGATGTATTAGAGAAAACCTGCTGGCAACTTTTTTTCCTTTTTTCAATTATTTGGTTTTCTTCTCTCTTCCGGGTTTTGTTGGGGGTAGGGGTGGGCCTTGCGTCCCAGGGGCAAGAGCACGAGCACAGGGGTAGGCTGATGCCACCCCAAGGAGTGGTTGGGCACAGTTGCTGATGGCAGCTGGCATGTTCTCTGCTCATTGGTCTAAGGCAACGTATGAAGAAAGCACACATGTACTGTGTTCTAAGCCTGCCTCATTCACTGTGGCTGCATCTGGAGAGAACGCTTTGACGGGGAAAAGAAATCATGTCTCACACCTTGGGTACTATGAGTCTCAGCATAGTCCCCAATTCTCTCTTTCCACTTGAAGGTTTGGGGGAGAACAGATCTGCAGCTCTCATTAGCCAACCGGGAAGGGTGGGGGGTCTCCTTAGTGGACAAGGAAATGGACTATGAAAATGCTGAGAGTCACAGCCTGACTGTTTAGGGTTGGCTTTCATTCCCAGTTTTTCCTCTAAATGTCTGCTTCTTGCCTGATTGATGAGAGGCCCCAAGACTCATGACTGGGGCTCACTGAGCTCTTCTCCTGTGTGACTGTGTAGACAAACAATGCTGAAGTGGGGGATGAAGCAGTAGGATTAATTACCTGGTGGAGATCCAGCCTGCACATTTTTCTGACTAGTACCTAGTGAACTGTAGATAAAAATCTCAAAAAGGATGAATAAAATGAGAATAGTTTTATCAAAATTAATGAAAGCTCACATAATGTCTGCATTTTATCACTGATTCAAGGGCATCCTTAGAAAGCTAAATTTAACTGAAAAAAACTGAATGTGGATCATATTTGAGTAGTATCATATCTACATTAAATTCCCTGAATTTGATATTTGTATTGTGACTGTTAGAGATTACCCTTAGCCTTAGGAGATACATACTGAAATGTATAGGTGTATTAGGATGCCTGCCACTTATTCTGATAACTGAGCAAAATAATAATAGTAATAATATGAGAAAAAGAGAGAATGTGTACAATTTTGGACAAACGTTAACAAATGTAGACTCTAGGTGAAGAACATGTAGGTATTTGTTAGTTGTACAACTCTCACAAATTTTCTGTAAGTTTGAAAGTTTTCAAAATATAAAGTTATAAAAGGGCAAAACACAGGTGATTCTGCATCCCAGTCCAACACTGGATTTTGAACAGTTACACTGACAGAAGCAATCACTGGGAAGAGGCTCTCAGAGGACAGTCAGTGCATACTTTCTGGACTTGTTTCTGCTCAGGATTGTTTCTGAAAGTCCAAAGAACCTGTGGATAGAGGCACAGAGTTAATGGTTGTGCTCCATGACCAGACCAACAGTTCTCAACCACACACTCGATGGTGACATGGCCATGGCCATGACATCATCTGCCCAGGGGCCACCTCGGGGCAAAGGACACCATCCACTCCCAGAGAGGCACTGCCTCTCTCCTCTCCACTGCGAAGCCTCTCAAAATCCTGCTCTTCCAGGCTTGCCTCCAGGCTTTTATACTATTCTTTGAAGGTTCTTTAACCCACCAGCAGGTAGCAAACTCTGTAGCAAGGGGACCGCTGGCTGCCAATTGTCAAGTTCCTCGACTTCCTGTATCTCATTCTTCAGCTTGTTGGCCTTCTCCTTCACCCAGAAAGGCAAGCTGTGGGAAGAAAACACCACCCTGAGTTTGAGTTGGTCTCCCATGCAAATGCTACAAACACCTTCAGCAGACAAGACAGTACATCCTCTAAAAGTAAGAAGGTCTCCAATTTTGGAGACAAGTGTCAAAAGAAAACACCGTGTTAGTTGTCACCATTTGCCCTCCCCCACAAACTCTGCCCAGGAAGCTGACCCCGTGCTGAACCACTTTGACTCCTCCCTGGCTCCACTTTTGAGCCGGGCTTGGCTAATGGGAGGCAACAGGAGATCAGAAGATGGAAAGACAGAGGTTGGGGTGTGTCTCATCAGGCTCCTCGATTCCCTCCCTGTCTCCCCAGGTAGCCCAGTTCTGGAGCGGCTGCATGCTCCCCTGCCACGACTCCTTGTGAACAGCCCTTCTCTGTCTCCCACTGCCCTGTGAACCATGAGCCCCTTCCTGCTGTTTAGACCGAGGAGTAGTAAGAGAATCTCACTGTCAGGGGCCCCTGGGTGCTTCGCCCTCCCACCTGAGTTCTCTCAACCTGCCCACACATTAGGAAACAGTTCAGAATCCCAGCTGAGTATGCCTTCAGCTTTCTGCCAGGACCTCAGCTAATGCAGACACCAGCATCCTCCCAAGTCTGTTGAGATTTGAAAGGGCATATGCTAGGCTGCACTGTATGTGTTCCAAGAGGTACCAGGAAGTGTGGCTCCTTGGATGAGTCAGAGCAGGAAGATGACAAATGTTCTCATCTTTTGGCAGCTAGAATTTTCATATTTTTAGGGGGAAATGCACCATGATTAGGAAAATACTCTGATAAACCTGCTGGAGGTAGGGAAGTGCCTGTAAGAAGGAAGAGGAGGATTACCACACATAGTGATAGGTGGGAGTCCAGGTTATAATTTAAAGCTGGCAACCCAGTAGTAGAAGCCCAAGTAAGAAAAGCAGGACAAAGGGCAATATAGAAAGATATTAGCATGAAGAACCAGAAGAATAAAAACACACGCATTTCTAAACATTGAAAGAAGTAATTTTTAACTTTAATTGAAATAATTAAAAAACAGTGAAATACTCAGGGTAAATATAATACAATACACATAATACATGTAACAGAAACTACTATAATAGAATTGAAATCAAATCTGTCAGGTCAATAAATGCAAATGTCCTTAATTCACCTATTAAATAAAAAATCTCAAATTGGCTCACAAAGCAAAATCCAATTCTATGTCTGAGAGACAGACCTAAAATAAAGTGATCTTAGAGTCTAAGAATGGGCAAAAGCATATTAATTAAATGCAAACAAAACGAAGTAAGAGTTGTAACCTTAATATCTGGCAAGGTATGATATAGGGCAAAAAGAATGAAATGAGAAAAAGAAAGATGTTTTTATATGCTAATGACTACAATTAACAATTTTGTTAATTGCTACTATTGTAAATGGTTATATTTTATAATATAAAATATTTATATATTTTTTATAAAATAAAATTTATATTTTTAATTTAAAAATATTTTATATTACAAAACATAACCATTAACAATAAACACAGTAATATTTGAGCATTTTGACACACCAACTCTTAATCCAAGTGGACAAAGCTAATAGATAAATATGAGTAAGGAAACACAAGGGCTAAACAGAATAATCAATTAGATAAATCTTCTGGGTATGCATCTAACTTTGCATCCTGATGAAATAGAATGCACTTTCAAACGCATGTGGAGAGAGTCCCCAAATTAAATGCATATTAGATCACAAGGAAAACTTTGATAAGTTCCATAAAGTAAAAATAATAAAAACAATATTTTCTGATGGCAAGGTGACAAAAGTAAAAACAAATTACAAAATAAAACCAAAAAGCTCTCCTGGAAATTCAAAATCTTTCTATCAAGTAATTCTTTAGTCAAAAGGAAAACACCAACACAAAGTGCAGAATTCTTTAAAAAATAAAGATAACCTACATATCAAAATTTATAAGGTTCAGAATGGAGCTGAGCTAAAATGTAAGATCAGAGGCATGGTACCTCCCTCAAATACAGGAATACTCCAATGGCTTGCGCTCTGCCTCGTCAAACTCTAACCACCATTCCTGCCTGCACTCATTTAAGTATATGTCTTTCTTTTCCAACAAACTCTTACGTTTTAGAAAACAGGAGCCCTGACTTTTCACTGCATATAAAACCCATCATAGTGCACACCTAGCACAGCACAGGGCGTCGGATAGTCGGCCAATCACATCTGTTAAGACGTGAGTAGCCCAGCTGCCAGACTCCACAGGCACTTGCCCTTAGAGTGTCTCACCAAAACTCCTCTCTACAGCTAGTCCCACCCACCTGTGGGGACTCAAAAGGTACATATGTGTTAGGAGTCTATGACCTACTCCATAGGAGAAAAATAATGATTGATATTTTAATAAAGATAGGAGAATATAAAACATGGTGAGAGAACTCACTTGGGAACTTGTGGAAGAGGCTCAAGTGGAATAAATGTATCAAACTTCTTTTCATAAGGCACTCTGAAAAACAGAAAAGGCAACCATAAAACTGGTATGGCTTCTGTGGCAAAGAGGTCATTACATTGTGTGTTCAATAAATTGTCTTATCTCCTGGTTTTAATTGTCACGTATGGGCTTCAAACCCGTTAAGGATGATAATTCTTATTATCTTTTACCATTTTTTGTAAAGATTATTAAATCAAACATGATTAATTTTTATCACGGTATAGTTGATTTACAATATTATATGTTTCAGATGTACAACATAATGATTGATAATTTTTCAAGGTTATATTCCATTTATAGTTATTATAAAATACTGATTATATTCCCTGTGCTGTACAATACATCCTTGTAACTTATTTATTTTATACATAGTAGTTTGTATCTCTTAATCCCCTACCCTTATCTTGCTCCTCCCTTTTCCCTCTCCCCACTGTGACTACTAGTTTGTTCTCTATATATCTGTGAGTCTGTTCCTTTTTGTTATAGTTACTGGTTTGTTTTATTTTTCAGATTCCATTGTAAGTGATATCATACAGTCTTTGTCTTTGTCTGACTTTTTCACTAAGCATAGTACCCTCCAAGTTCATCCAAGTTGTTGCAAATGGCAAAATTTCACTCTCTCTTACAGCTGAGTAGTATACCATCGTATACATGTATCACATCTTCCTTATCCATTCATCTGTTGATGGACACTTAAGTTGTTTCCATATATTGGCTATTGTAAATAATGCTGCTGCAAACACTAGGGTGCATGTATCTTTCAAATTAGTGTTTTTGTTTTGTTCAGAACATGATTCATTTTTAAATAATGTTTCTAAGGTACCACATCAACTATTTTTCTTTTTAATTTCTCCTCAATGTTTCCAAAGTAAGTCAACTCAAACAGTAGCCACTAACCAACAATCTGATTCAGTATGAAAACTGAACATCCTGTGTATGGTTTCAATTACACATAAACATGTGTGCATTCACTAAGGAACTAGATATGGACTTTTTTAGGAATTGTCACCATCTATGTCTTGTTGAGATTTACCCCTTGCAAAATATAATTTATATGTAGTAGAGAAAAGTACAGTTCCTTTAAAGTTAAGTAAATAACTTAACTATTAACATACACTTACACTGAAAAATTCACCGGTGGGAGAGTTGATCCTGCTTTGTGGAAGCCTTTACTCCGTTCTGGGTACATGTATGGATTATCTCCTGGAGTTAACTTTGGGATTCCATTCCTGGGATCAATATCTGTGAATGATGTTTAAAAACAAAATCATAAGAAGGGCTGAAGATGAGCAACAGATTTGCTGTAAGTATCAACATGACAATGGAAATAGGATAATTTAGTGTTTTATTACGAGGTACATATAGGTGTCTTAATGTTCTGTTTGTGATTGTCTCATTTTGAGGAGATGAAGATAAAAGTGTGAGCCTGTGTTTGAGACATTTTTATAAAGGTGTTGTTATGATTACCTCAACCTGGGAAAGAAGAACAGCTTACGTCTGGATGGGATGTTTTGGTTTAAAATGAAAAGTGAATCAGAGGTATCTGCAATGTTGAAATCTTTTCACTCCTGAGCATTAGTGCACACTGAATCCTTGACTCCTATAAAGCAATCTCCTCTAAAAATATATAAACCTAAATACCTTCCCCGCCAAAATGAAATAATTAAGTAATACAATAATAAATAAAATATTTTCAAAAAGTAAATGAGATTATTATGATGATCTAAATCCCAACCCTCACCCATCACTTCCCTCCTAACTCAAAAGTAAACATTATCCTCAATTTTGTGTTTTTTTATCCTTCCTTCCTTTTTCTTGTTTTCATAAATACTGAGTAAATGCAAAGGTATGTTTATGAAGTATTTATTGAATATATAGAATAAAATATCACAAGCACTTGGGTGCTTCTCACTCCATTTAAGAAATAGAATATTTTCTTTATACTTGAAGCCTCCAAAAGGCCTCTCCCTGAATACAGCATCTTTTCTTTTCTTCTCCCTATTCCACTGGTAACCCCAACTCTACCTTTCTTACAAACAAAAACTTTTTATTAGGGACGTTTTCAAACATGTGCCAAGTTTGGGAGAAAAGCGTAATGTAACATGATGTTCCCATCACTTAACTTCAACTGTCAACACATGACTAATCTTGTTTCATCTTTACCCTCCTCTGCCCTCAGGGAACATTTTAAAGCAAGTTTCAGACCTCATATAATTTCAACTGTGAATATACCAGTATGTGCCTCTGATCGATAAGGATTATTTTTATCAACATGACCATAATACCTTTCTCATATCTTAAAAAAAATTCCTTTATCTCATCAAATATTCAATCAGTGTTCAAATATCCAGTTGTCTCATGAATGCCACAATTTAAAAATGTTTATAGTTTGTTCAAATCAGGATCCAAATAAGATCCACATAGCAATCAGTTGATGTGTCTTAAGTCTCTTTGAATATATAGGTCCTCCCTCCCTTTTTTCCTTGCAACTTATTTGATGAAGAAACTAGGTCATTTGTTCTGTAGAGTTTGCCACAGTTGAGATTCTGCTGATTTCACCCCTTGGTACCATTTAATGGGTTCCTCTGTCCTAGGTATTTCCTGTAAATTGATGTTTGGCTCTGTAGGCTTGATTTGTTTTGGTGTAATTGCTTCCTAGGTGATGTTGTTCAATGGCTTCTTTAAGCATCAAATGTGATGATTCTTTTTTTTATTTCTTCTCTTCCTTGATCTCACCGCAACACTTGATACTGCTAAGCTTGACACTGGACACAAATTCTCTCTCTCCTCATTCTTTCTTGGACAAGATGGAGAGGCAGCATCAGGGAACACCAGTCAGCTGCCATTTTGAACTGGAATTCAACACATTTATTATAGAAAAAGGTCAATCAAAAATGGTTGACTCTAAGCCATCAGCTATGATCAAGCCACTGGTGGAGATCCCTTAAGGCCTAATTTGTTGCCATAGAAGGAAGAACAAAATGGTCTATGGTCATAGGTTGTAGGGAAACAGATCTGAAAATATAATTTTTCTCTTGTATAGGCCTCCTATGGTACAGCATATTGGATCAGTCAGAATAGGATGGCTTCTGCAGTAACAAATAATCCCTGAAATCTCAGCAGCTCAATCATTGGTGTTTACTTCTTTCTCTTGCAAAGTTCACTGTGGATTCAGCAGCTCTCAAGGGTAGCTCCCTTCCAAGCCGCGACTAAAGGATCTTTTTCCTTTTTCGCCTTATGACTTCTCCATCTCAACATGAGGTTTCATGTTGAGGTTAAGGCTGCCGTAGCAAGAGAAAGAGAAAGTGCTGGAGGGTCACAACCAGTTCTTAAGTCTTTTTTCTTTTTTTTTTTTAATGGAGGTACCAGGGATTTAACCCAGGACCTTGTGCATGTTAAGCATGTGCTCTACCACTTGAGCTATACCCACCTCCTCATTTACTTTTGATATATACTTATAGTTGGCCCAGTTCTGGCCAGTGAGACATGAATGGGAGGAAGTCTCCCAAGGACCATATGGGAAAACTTTTCCTTCCTTCTAAAAGGGGAAGGCAACAAGAGATTCTCCTTTTTCATGTCTTGAATAAAAACATGATCCTTGGGACTGCAACAGTTCTCTTGTGAACATAAGGTGACAAGCATGAAGACAAAAAAAAAAAAAAACCAACACTCAGAATAATAACACAAAAAAACAAAATGAGCCTGTATCTTTGATGACATCATTCGGCAACCAGACCATATAGGTCACCAAGATTCCAAAGCTTCTTGTTCATTACATGATAAATATCTTATGATCTAAGCCTCTGATAATTTGATTTTTCTCTTACTTGTGGCCAAGAGCATGCCTAAGTAATATACAGCTAAACTTGGTCCCTTCTTGATTTTTCTCAATTATTTCAGATTTAAACCAGTTAAGTAAATCCTTCCTGTTCTACCCTATGGCTGTACCCCAGTAAGGAGTGGGAAGTAGGGGTGTGCACAGCAGGCTTACATGACATCAAAGCTTTAGTGGAGGGCTTTGGGTCCTGGCTCACTGTCTGCAAACCACACTGGTAGCTGCTACTTTCTGAGACGTGGCATCTATTTCTGTGGTCCACTAAAATGCATCATAGAGTCCAATCCTCTGGAAGTCATCCTCCTCTCCAATGCACCAGGTGAAGCATAAATCTGTTCTTAGATGGTCTCTTGCCTGATGGTTTACTATGCGTCACACCGTGGCCCCCGGCATGCCAGTTGTAAGCCCAGCTCTCCCGGCTTGCTCTCTCTTGCTCTCGGTCCTAATGGCCACAGTCTTTACAAGGCACAGAAACGCTCCTATTCTTCCACCTCTCCTGGTGAGACCCTGAGGCTGGCTTTCTGCCCAAACCTCCACAGCTATTATTACTTTCCTGCTCTGGGTCAGGCCAGAAGCCACTTCAATTTGAAGCTCAAGGTCTACCCCCAGCTACACTGTGAGGCGGAAGCCCCAGCTAGATGCACTTCTGACCACTGCTAGATTTTGATCTCAGGAGTCAGGCAGGATGCAGGGCTCCTCAAATTCCCCATATCAGTGACTGCTTTCCCATCTCCTCTAGCATGGCTTTTGGTGTCTCCTCTAGCCAAACAAAAGCCTTCCAATAATGTATAAAAGATCCAGTTATCTACATCCTCTCCAGCATTTGGGAGCAATTGTATTCCTGGGCAATTGTATTCCTGGCATTTATCCCAGAGAAATGAAAACTTGTACATGATTGTTTATAAAAGCGTTATTTGTAATAACTAAAAATACAGAAGCAATAATAATGTTTTACAGCAGGTCTGGTTAAACAAAATGTGTATCCATACCATGGAAAATACTTGTCAATAAAAAGGAACCAACTTTGGATTAAAAAAAAAAGAAGCCTTGGTTTCCAAAACTATCTGTATCTGCTATGAGCTTCAAAGTCTAACCAAAAGCTCAAAAATGAGAACTTCCTGTTTCTTTCTGTTTGCATTCTTGCTACAGCAATCTTATTCTTCCCTGAAGCAATGGCTGACTCCTACACAGGTATTTCTCTGGAAGAGCGTGCCCTAAATGGTCCCTTGATACTCAGCAACTCTTTAGGGTCTTTCAATAAATCTATGATGGGTAGGTTGGGACAAAGAACTCAACAATTTACAAACTGAAGATATACATCTTCTCATCTCAATTAAGTAAGCTATGAAATAACAACATGCACTTCAGGCTAAGGTTTACGGATGTTTTCCTTGAGAAGAATCTAAAGTATGATTTAAATGCATGTGACAGGCAGCATCTAACTGAAACGTAAATTATTTTCTTCGGGCTTCAATGAAGGTTTCTATTAATAAGCATCTGAGAGAACTTATCTGATGACTTGAATGTCACATTAGCATTTTATGAAATTCAGAGAAAAACATAAATGTGGATCAGCATATGGTGTGAGTTCTTTGCCAAAAAGTGCAGCCTGCCAACCATCCCCTTCACTTTCCTATCTTCCTGGCTGCCTTAGGGTGACACGGTAACCTGGCAGGGCTGCCCCCAGCCACGGGATGCTGGGCCTGCAGAATCACGACTCACAAGTATTTTCAGGCATTGCACAGTTAAGGTCCGGGAGGAAAACATTACCGTATTTCTTCCTTCCAAAGCACTTTTCCACTGTCCTCTCTGATAGAGATCTCCGGTTGCCAAGGAAGACTCCATTAAAGAAGCACTGCTTTCCAACATGGTAGGTGTGGAGGTTGCTGCTAAACCTCGGGTAAAATGTCCACTCAGGACGCTGTCCATCTTCTGCAGGACATCAGAGATCCTCCCATCAACAATGTTCCCAGCCTCACGATGTAGTTGGAGGACAAAAAGTTGTGAAAGCCGCCCCCTCCCCCAGCACTATCTGGCTGTACCACCTTCATCAATGTGTATAATTCCCTGGTTCTACATCAGAGGTATTGTCAGCCTCTGTGGGACAGGGCACAAAGGAAGGGAAGTACAGAGAAAGCTATCTAAGAGGGCTCTTTCCCCACCCCCCTTTTATCCTTCCCTGCAAAAATGAAGCCAGTTTTATGGTTGGAAGTGATGTAGAGTTAGGAATCTCAGAGATAGTATTTTTTTTTTTAACAGAGGTACTGGGGATTGAACCCAGGACCTCATACATGCTGAGCATGTGCTCTACCACTGAGATATACCCTCACCCTCTCAGAGATAGTTCTATAAGCACTATGATCCAACCTTTACTCTAACAAGTGTGTAGGAAGAACAGACTGCCCATCAACTAGGGAGGCGCTGGGACAACCATGGCATCTTAACCAGATGGTACATGTTGTTGGCAGCAACAATGGCACATAAGTGGACGGACTACAGTGACACGGGGAAATGTGTGCATGCGATTA